ACTAACTCAGGTACTTACTCAGCTACTTACTCAGCTACCTACTCAGCTTTTTACCCAGTTACTTACTCAGCTACTTACTCAACTACTACTAAGGTACTTACTCAGCTAATTACTCAGTTACTTACTCAGCTCTTTACTGATCTATCTAGGTAAAATAAATCTGGAGTCTTAAATTGAACTTGTTCAATTTCACAAATCTAGTTATTCTTTTTCTTTCTTTCTTTCTTCCTCCTAACAGATTTTCTCTCCAACTATAACATCTTACTTAATCCAACCTACATGGTTGACTAGGGAATGTATCTGGCTTTCTGGGAAATTGGGTCCAATTTTTATCTAGGTCAAAGGTCAAGAACTAGGTCAAATCCAGTACTTTGTCACTTTTTCCCACTATCTCGGTCGTCCTTCAATATTTTTGATCCGGGTTTTTTTCATTGTGTTCCTCATAAAAAAGTAGAAAAACGCAATACGATTTAGATTTTTGATATCTCGAACCGATTTCGAGATATCAGTGTCCAAAAACGAGGTCCAAAAAAAAGTTCTCCGAATCAAATGTCTAGGATATTATTCTTATAGGAAATTTTCTCAGGATTCCAAATCTGAAAACCAAATTCAGATCGGACTTCCGTTCCGGAAGTTATGGCGTTTTGAAAGCTCAAAAATCGCTAAATTTTAGGCCCATGTTAAGTCAATGAGAAAAAAGATTTTTTTGAAGTGAAAAATACGAAATAAAGACTGAGTTCAGCTAAATGTAATGAAAGCTTTTAAAAGAATGGGACCTCAAAAGCCATCTAGCTTCAATGTTTGGACACCAAAATGCCTAGGTCAAAATCTAGGTCAAATTCAAAGTTTTTCCTTATTTTTGCGATTCTGACACTACAGATTAATTATATTCTTGGAAATTTTTTATACATGTAGCCAAGAGTGTGCTAATAGTGTTAGCCTTTTGCCGTCAGAAAGTATTTTGACCCACTTTTGAGATATGGTGTCCGAAAAGTAGGTCAAACAAAAAAGTTCTCCAAATTTAACGTATGAGTTATGAATTAAGGGTAGAATTTTCTCAGGAATCCAAATCTGCAATCCAAATTTCAATCCGACTTCCGGTTCGGAAGTTATGTCGTTTTGAAAGCTCAAAAATCGCTAAATTTGGTGCCCCATGTTATGGCAATGGGAAAAAAGATTTTTTTGAAGTGTAAAATACGAGATGTAGACTGAGTACAGCTTTACATAATGAAAGCCTATAAAAGAAAGGGACCTCAAAAGCTAGCTAGCTTCACAATTTGGACACCAAAATGCCTAGGTGAAAATCTAGTTCAAATTTATAGTTTTAACTTATTTTTGCGATTCTGACACTACACTTTAATTATTTGCTTCAAAATTTTGTATACAGGTAGCAAAGAGTGTGCTAATAGTGTTAGCCTTTTGCCGTCAGAAAGTATTTTGACCCACTTTTGAGATATAGTGTCCGAAAAGTAGGTCAACATGAAAGTTTCTCCAAATTTAACGTATGAGTTATGAATTAAGGGTAGAATTTTCTCAGGAATCCGAATCTGCAAATCAAATTTCAATCCGACAACCGGTTTGGAAGAAATGGCGTTTTGAAAAATTAAAAAATTTGTATTTTGATATCCCATGTTATGTCAATTATCTTTGTCACTATTCGTCGTTATTCCTTTATCTTTTTTCATCATTTAGCTTAAAGACAGTCCTTCATTATTGTAACTGTCTTTTTTGATTACTCTTACCGATTTTGAGGAATGGCGTCCGGAAAGTAGGTCAACACAAAAAGTTCTCAAAATTTAATGTATGAGTTATGACACAAACGTAGAATTTTCTCAGAAATTCGAATCTGCAAACCAAATTTCGACCCAAATTCTGGTGAGATAGTTATAGCTGTTTGAAGTCTCGAAAAGTCGATATTATGATATCCCCATGTTAAGCCAATGGAGACGAAGATAACCTACTTAAGAGTTGTCTAAATGTCTATATTCTAGATGACTCAGCTTATTCTGAATGGCTCAGCTTACAGTATTTTGGATGACTCAGCTTAAAAAAAGTTTGAAATCTGGAGTCTTAAATTGAACTTGTTCAATTTACATGTCTAGTTATTTTTATTATTCTTCTTTTTCTTCCTCCTAACAGATTTTCTCTCCAACTATAACTTCTTACTTAATCCAACTTACATGGTTAACTAAAGACTGTATCCGGCTTTCTGGGAAATTAAGTCAAATTTTTATCTAGGTCAAAGGTCAAGAACTAGGTCAAATCTTACATTTTCAACATTCTTCATCATATCTTCGTCAATATTCTTCGTAACTCCTTCATCTTTTTTTCATCGTGTAGCTTAGAAAAAGGCAAATCAAAGATATGACATCAGAATTTTGAGTACTCTTACCGATTTTGAGATATGGCGTCCGGAAAGTAGGTCAGAACAAAAAGTTCTCCAAATTCAACATGTGAGTTATGAAATGAGTGTAGAATGATCTCAGGAATCCGAATCTGCAAACCAAATTTGGATCGGACTTCCGGTTCGGAAGTTATGGCGTTTTGAAAGCTCAAAAATCGCTAAATTTGGTGCCTATGTTAAGTCAATGGGAAAAAAGACTTTTTCGAAGTGTAAAATACAAGATATAGACTGAGTACAGCTTAACATAATGAATACTTATAAAAGAAGGGGACCTCAAAAGCTACATAGCTTCAAAATTTGGACACCAAAATGCCTAGGTCAAAATCTAGGTCAAATTCATAGTTTTTCCTTATTTTTACGATTCTGACACTACACTTTAATAATTTACTTCAAAATTTTGTATACAGGTAGCAAAGAGTGTGCTAATAGTGTTAGCCTTTTGCCGTCAGAAAGTATTTTGACCCACTTTTGAGATATGGTGTCCGGAAAGTAGGTCAAAATAAAAAGTTCTCCAAATTTAACATATGAGCTATGAATTAAGGGTAGAATTTTCCTAGGAATCCGAATCTGCAAACCAAATTTCAATCCGACTTTCAGTTCGGAAGTTATGGCGTTTTGAAAGCTCAAAAATCGCTAAATTTGGTGCCCCATGTTATGTCAATGAGAAAAAAGATTTTTTTGAAGTGTAAAATACCAGATATAAACTGAGTACAGCTTAACATTCTGAAAGCCTATAAAAGAAGGGGACCTCTAAGGCTATCTAGCTTTAAAATTTGGACACCAAAATGCTTAGGTCAAAATCTAGGTCAAATTCATAGTTTTTCCTTATTTTTGCGATTCTGACCTTACACTTTAATGATTTGCTTCGAAATTTTGTATACAGGTAGCAAAGAGTGTGCTTATAGTGTTAGCCTTCTGCCGTCATAAAGTATTTTGACCCACTTTTGAGATATGGTGTCTGAAAAGTAGGTCAAAATAAAAAGTTCTCCAAATTTAACGTATGAGTTATGAATTAAGGGTAGAATTTTCTCAGGAATCAGAATCTTTAAACCAAACTTCGATCCAACTTCTGATTAGATAGTTATAGCGGTTTGAAGTCTCGAAAAGTCGTTATGATGATATCCCCATGTTAAGCCAATGGAGTCGAAGATAACATTCTTAAGAGTTGTCTAAATGTCTATATTCTAGCTGACTCAGCTTATTCTGAATGACTCAGCTTACAAGTATTTGGATGACTCAGCTTAAAAAAAGTCTGAAATCTGGAGTCTTAAATTGAACTTGTTCAATTTACATGTCTAGTTATTATCATTTTATTCCATTATTACAAATTGACAAAACTAAACAATTGCCAAAGTTGAGTGACATTGACGACAATTTTGAATGAAATTTATAGGAATGTAATTTTTCACATTAAATTATTTTCCTGTCATGTTATCATTAAATGTAGATGAGAAAAAAGTCAATAAGGTATCACTCCCCTAAGCTCAATATGTTTTACTGTATAATAGGTTGACATTACAATCATAAACTGAAGAATTTTGTGTTGTGAACATTATTTAAGCTTGCTTTTGAATCTTATATATATTGTTGTAATGCAGTAATCATGTATACTATGTATTGTACAGTCTTATTGAAGTCTTTACATTCTTTTGTAAAATAAAGAAGCTCAATGAAAATGACTACTTTCTTCGATGTTCAATATTGGTTCGAGTTACCCCCCTTGGCAAATCCTAGCTAAAGGCCTGACATGTGTTTGTTACAAGACCATTTTGCTCATAACTAGGCCAGTGATTGCCGGTTGTTTGAAGCAATGATTTTCACTTTGAAATATTTGATTTATATACCAAAATTGAATGAAACTTCAGAGACTGAGAAATTGAATATAAGCATCTTGAACATGACAAAATATTTTTAGCAGGCTAACAATGTTACACACTGTTTTATGCTTTGATTTGTCATAGTACCCTTACATAAAGTTTTTCATTATGCTTCAAAATAGCTAGTCATATATACATTCAGCGCACCATTGGAAAGCTTATATTGTTATTTAAGTTCCCTTTTTCTTAATCTCCTCTTCACAAAATTAAATCAAACAGTTGGGGATTGAGAAATTAAACCAGAGATATATAACACAGATTTATGCCTCTGATTAATGCAACTGCAAGGAGGATTGGCTCCCAAGGTTCGAACTCGAAATGTTGACGTTCAAGCAAGTTTCAGTGATTGTGGCTGCATATTGCTACAGCTGCAAGGAGAATGGCCATATTCTAGTTATTAATATAGTGATGATAACAACAAAATGGTGATATCTGACATTTTAATTGCCTGGCGGATCTAGCCCTTTTTAGGCCAAATTATCAAAATGGGCCTTAATTATACTTCCAGTCCATTGTTTTTCTTGTTTATTGCAGAATTCTATAAAAACTTCAGGGACTAAGAAATCAAATGTAAGTTACATTTTTGTTATGCTCAGTCTTTCTAATTTCTCAATATTTAGACTCTTCATGTTAATTTCGGAAAATGTGCGCTTTTTAGAGAGAATACGGTAGTCAGTTTCTATGAAAACAGCGAACAGTGTGATCGGTCGCATTTTTATCGGAAGAGTGCCCTTTTGCAAAAAATAATTCCAAGATAAATTAGAATAAAAAATAAATCTCAGTATGAAGTATACAGAGTCATGTCATGTGATAATGGACTCTCGTTCCTTAATTAAGTGACCACCGAGGAGCCCATTTCAATATGTATGAGTAAAAATAATCACGGCGGATGAATTTGTTATTTTAAAAGTAGTACGCTAATCCAAGATGGCTGCGTTACGACGTGGAATTTTTCTGTGCATAATTTCAAGTATTTTTTGTGGGGTTCTATCTGAGCCAAGAAACGTTGCTGGAAATAAAGCCAATGGACAATTTGTTAACAACCAAGACAATTCAGTAATCAATAGAGAGAAGCGACAGAAGCCACTGGATAACAATAATATTCCTAATAACTTCAACAAAATTCGGAATCAGAACCCAGGCCTAAACTTCAACAAGAATCAAGGATTTCCAAATGCTCAGGATAGTAATAATCAAAATTACTTGAATGCAGCTGGGCAGCAGAATAACCGTATAAATCCTCAAGGTAGAAATGATAATGTGATTCAGAACAGACCATTTGGTAACAATGGCCCACCAAAAGTTATGAATCAAAATCAACGATTCAATGAGCCCCCAAGGAAGAATCCTGTCGTGAAGATATCTGAGACACCGCAATGTGCAGCTGATGTACAGCGTCTATGCAGCAAGAATCTACGAACCAACAATTTTGCGATACTTGAATGCTTGCAGAATGATGCAGTAAGTTCAAACCAATTTTGACTTTTTAAAAGTATAGTATATACCCAGTCTAAGAGGAGGGAAAGCCCAAGAGTTTAAAGATGACAGACATAATTACGTCTCTTGCTCACCACCTTCGTTCGTTCTAATTTTCATCGGCTGGTTATCAAATAGTACACTTTGATGGGATGTTTTAATTGATATACTATTTTTTTCATGGCCTGACTTTGTCGCTAACATGCTAAATATAAGAGTTGGCTGATTTCCTTGTAAGTTCCGGAAGTTTCAATACGAAAAATTACCGAACATATGTGAAAACCAAATATTTGTTCGTTGTTTTCACGATTTACAGGTTCGTTTGTTCTCCAATGTTTTGGTCTAAATTATAAAGCATCACCAACAGGTCTTACTCTATTAATCGACTAATACAGCAGACGGCTCATATTTCTACGTAGCATTTCGTTCAGATCAATAGTGGGAGTGCAGATCACGCAGTTTCGTTCGTTGCGTACTTCACTTGAAATTGGTAATTTTAAATATTGGCTACTTCACTTAGCTTGGCGGATGTAGAACATTGCTTAATATTCTTTTAATTTTCACACCAGACATGCTTGGTTGACACGTCAACAAAGTAAAGTTCAAGGGTCAATGCGTTATTTCGTGATAACTACAACGCCTTCCCGGAAGTCAACATTGGTGAAAAATGAAAAAGTCGGAAAAGCATTTACACTGATTTCTATCAAATGCTGTGTTTATGCATCATCATCGACGCAACAAAGGTGATATGGTTTCATTAAGATTCGGGTTCTAACCTTTAGAAGGTAAGTCAGACTCCCAAACGTCAGCTAACTCTTATATTTAGCATGTTAGCGACAAACTCAGGCCATGAAAAAAATATTAGACATATTCCGTACACCTTTCTTTATCTTGATGTGAAATGAGAAGCTATGATATTGGTTAACACGCCAGAAATGAACATAATATTAATTGAAGCGTATTTCGTAAATTTTGAAACCGCCATTGATGACGTCATTTGTTTGTCGACTTTTGACCAATCAGCGATGATGAACCCTGGTGTCTCCCCCTCTGACCCAGTCTACAGAGTAACAATAGTATCTTGGCTCAATCATGTCTTACATTCACCTACCATGTCCTCCCCATGTCACAAATGTTCACTTTATATAGCTTGTGTCAGTTTGGTTCTACATCAAACAAACCTAATAAATCAACCATGGACTTACAACTCTAATTGAAAGCCCATGGATCAACAAACAAAAGACGACAGTATAATGTATTATTGAATAAAACAGTTATATTTTTATGCAAAACATTTGTACGAGTTTATTTCAGAGAAATTAGTTTTAGGATTTACAACTCTAATTGAAAGCCCATGGATCAACAAACAAAAGATGACAGTATAATGTATTATTGAATAATACAGTTATATTTTTATGCAAAACATTTGTATATTTCAGAGAAATTAGTTTTAGGTTTTTGCAAACCTGTGTATGCCTCTTGAATCAGCCATGTTAATTTTTTTTAAATAACATGTCAGAAAATAATCAAAATACAAGAAGCCATACATTTTATTATCCCATCGAACGAAGTTCGGAGGGATATAGGGAACGCCTCCGTCCGTCCGTCCGTCCGTCCGGGCAATAACTCAAATACCGTTGGCCCGATTTTGTTCATATTTTGTACACATATACCCTATGGGGGTAGAAGTTCTGCTCGTAAGCCGATTTTCAAAATGGCCGCTCATTTCAAAATGGCGGCCATTTTAGTGTCGATTTTACAGTAATTTAGGTACAATATGTAAAACTATAATAGCAATATGTTTTAAGTGTAAAAAAATTATAAAGGACATTAATAAAGCTACAAATGTAGATATTAAAAAAGCACATGGCAGCCATCTTGAAAAATGGCGGCCTTTACTCGTTATTTTACGATTTTTGCTGTAACTCGAAAAGTAGTGGAGCGATTTTGTTCATATTTGGTATGTGAATACTATAAACATTGCACACTGTCTAAAGACACTTTTGGTAGAAGGCGGCCATTTTGAAAAATGGCCGCCATTTTAACGTATTTTACTATAACTCGAAAAGTAGTGGAGCGATTTTGTTCATATTTGGTATGTGAATATTATAAGCATGGCACACTGTCCCATGACACTTTTGGTAGAAGGCGGCCATTTTGAAAAAAAATTTGAAAAATGGCCGCCATTTTAACATATTTTACCATAACTCGAAAAGTAATGGAGCGATTTTGTTCATATTTGGTATGTGAATACTAAAAGCATGGCACACTGTCCTATGACACTTTTGGTAGAAGGTGGCCATTTCGAAAAAATTTTGAAAAATGGCCGCCATTTTAACGTATTTTAGTATAACTCAAAAAGTAGTGGAGCGATTTTGTTCATATTTGGTATGTGAATACTATAAGCATGACACACTGTCCTATGACACTTTTGGTAGAAGGTGGCCATTTTGAAAAATGGCCGCCATTTTAACGTATTTTACTATTAATCGAAAAGTAGTGAAGCAATTTTGTTCATATTTGGTATGTGAATACTATAAGCATGTCACATTGTCTAATGACACTTTTGGTAGAAGGTGGCCATTTTGAAAAATGGCTGCCATTTTAATGTATTTTACTATAACTCGAAAAGTAGTGGAGCGATTTTGTTTATATTTGGTATGTGAATACTAAAAGCATGGCACACTGTCTAATGACACTTTTGGTAGAAGGTGGCCATTTTGAAAAATGGCCCCACGTATTTTACTATAACTTGAAAAGTAGTTCATCGATTTTGTTCATATTTGGTATGTTTCATATTTTATATGTGAATACTATAATAAGCATGGCACACTGTCTAATGACACTTTGGGTAGTAGGCGGCCATTTTGAAAAATGACCACCATTTTTACGTTTTTACTATAACTTGAAAAGTAGTGAAGTGATTTTGTTCATATTTGATATGTGAATACTCACGAGCCTTGCACACTGTCTCATGACACTTCGGATAGTAGGCGGCCATTTTAAAAAATGGCTGTCATTTTTACATTTTTTACTATAACTCGAAAAGTAGTGGAGCGATTTTGTTCATATTTGATATGTGAATACTCTAAGCATGGCACATTGTCTAATAAAACTTTGGGGAGTAGTCGGCCATTTTGAAAAATGGCCATCATTTTTATGTGTGTTATTTCACAAGTACATGTGTGCGATTTTTCCAAAATTTTATTGGTGGCTACTAAAAGCATATTATTTCTTCTGATAACAACTTGGCTAACCATTTTGAAAATAGTGGCCTTTCTGGTGTGTTGTTTTATGATATTTGCTATATATTTCATTTGTAAAAATGCCAGCTATTTCTGTTCGATGGGATTCGCTACGCTTTGGCGTTGCCGTTGTTCTGGTTTGCCAAGCCACAAGCAATCCAAAATATATAAACATTTTTTTTTATGTAAATACGCTTATTTTTCCATATAATATTGTACTGTGGTCTTTTGGTTGCTTTTTTAGGATGCACAACCATGAACCTTTTATCACACTTTTTCAATGTGATATTGCGCCACCGTGTAATATTATAGTTACCAAAACTTTTAGATGGTTTTGTTGCCCTCTTGTAAAGGGAGTTTCAGCTATGTAAATTTTGAAGCTAATTGCTTTAAAATTAACATTGCAGAGACACGCCTAACCATCGCGTAAGCAGGCGTCACCGTACAGCGTCAAAAAATACAGTAGTACAGTTTTCTGTACGGTGACGAAAATTAACTGAGTTGAAGCAAAAGCTATAATGAGGGTTTTAAAAAGATTAATTAGATGGAAATAAATACGATTTCGGGTGTAATGAAAACAGCATTCTCTTAGGAATGGTTTTAACTTTCTAATTATGATAAAAGTTTTTCGAGCACTGCTCAGATTTTTTCTGACTGGATCGGCCCACATAATCGACTCGAGAGAAAAATGGTGTTTTTTTCGTTTTCGTTTGGTTATTATTTTCCCTGTCGTCTGAGAGTATGGATTATTTTTATGAGAATATGTATTTGTTATCTACACATTTTAGAACAGATGAATATTCGGCAAATAATCATTCAGTGTATTTATTTAAAAAAGATCAGAACTGTACGGTGACGCATCAGCTGTACGGTGACGCTTCCTTAGATTTTATGAAGTGCTCTAAGCTTACTGTTCAAACAAGAGGTAAAGTAGCGTCAGATCTACGTGTACATTATCACTGGTAAGTATCAAGCGAAGGTTACAGCCGTCACCTTTGTATTTAAGATGGCGGACAGGAAGTATTAATTTCGATATTTTTAGTTTTCATGGAATTAACTATTTGATAGTTGACGTAATGCTTTGGTATCATTTGAACTAAACCAGGCTTTTCTCATATGACTAACAAAGATAGCCTACACAGCCATCTTTACCCCATGCAAGATATTGCATCTTTCATCCTAAAAAGTCACACGTGCAAGATGAGATTTACTTGTGACATCCCTTGTTTTAAAACATCAATAACATAGCAACAAGAGAGTTTTTGGTTTCATGATCTTTACCGTATCATACATTTCCAGTAACCTTCCATTAAGCTGTGGAAGATATCGTTGAACTGTAGCCCCCATGTACTATATATGAACAAATGATCATACTCCAGAGTTTCCATTTCATACAATCTTAGTCTCATTTAGTTCATCAAAGCATAGCGTCACCGTACAGCTGGTGCGTCACCGTACAAATTTGATCTTTTTTAAATATACATAATGAATGGTTGTTTGCTGAATCCTCGCCCGTTCTAAAATGTGTAAGTAACAAATACATATTCTCATAAAAATAATCCATACTCTCAGACGGTAGGGAAAATAATAACCAAACAAAATGTGAAAAAACAACCTTTTTTCACTCTGGTCGATTATGTGGGCCGATTCACTCAGAAAAAATCCGAACAGTGCTCGTAAAACGTTTATCATAATCAGAAAGTTAAAACCATTTCTAAGAGAATGCTGTTTTTATTTCACATGAAATCGTATTAGTTTTCATCATATTAATTTTTTTAAACCCTTGTCATAGTTTTTGCTTCAAAGCAGTTAATTTGCGTTACCGTACAGAAAACTGTACTCCGCTATTTTTTGACGCTGTACGGTGACGCCTGCTTACGCGATGGTAAGGCGTGAGAGATGCATCAATATTATGAGGTCACATATTTTTTAGCCAAACCACATACCATCCAAACGATAAGCAAAAGCATAGGCTTTATTGAAAGCCCATGGTAAAAGTAACTGACATGAATAAAATATAAAAATAACATCTATATTGCATTTAGTCGAAATTATAATTAGGTTTTCCCATTGAGAAATATGGCCAGTCAGGGGAGTATAATTGGTCAAATGCTACAGGAGGTACACTAATCGTTATTGCACTCGTGATGTATGTATGTGTGTGGAGTCCTTCTTTGAGTAAATAATTTGGTGAAATTTTAATTCAGCATAAAAGCATATAGTATTTCAAAATCTTTGATTTTGATCTGTGTTTTCTATAATAATGTGTAACTATTCATAAAAAATTTGAAAAATATTACCTATGGCCATTTCATTTTGAATATTAGTACATGTAATTAAAATCATGTAAATTTTGGCAAATAAGCATCATGTTGATCATCAAAGTAATTGGGTCTACTTAATGACTTTTTGAATTTGAGTAATAAATATACAATATATTGAGACTATGGCCATTTATATCATAAATATCAATTCCCGTTGATGTCATTAATGTTTTTCAACAGAAAGAAAAACTAACACGTAGCATTATGCTATAGGATATTTGCAGTGTCATATTACATCCTTTTCTATTGACGTTAATTGTAGAATATACATCACTTTAAACGATCGCAAAAAAGTTTGCCCTACTTTTAACAATTGATACATGATCAGTAAAGCCCATACAGGGAATTAAAACAAAATGGCAACTCTGCAATTTCCTCATATCTTTGTCATTTTGAGGAATTACTTTCTGATATTTTCCATATTTGTACATACGTGTATTTCAATTTCCTTCCATCATCTTACTATATTTCATAACCACCAGACTGATAGTCACAATGTTGCAGTACTTTAAACAACATGCTGGTATGACTATCATCACGCTGTAGGCAAACTAGCACAAGTTGTCAATGACCCGACTGCATTCCTCAGCAGGTGTGGCCTGAATGACACGGATGATCTCCCTTTTGAGGGCTGCAATTGTTCAGAAATCATTTTAGTACACTCTTATCTTTGACGTATCCCCACAGGTAAAAGTCAAAAGAAGTAGAATTATTGTAAATTTTCCAGCGCAATAATTGCCACGGAGCATGTTGTAACATTGTGACTGTCAGTCTGATGGTATGCTAGGCTGGTAAGATATTGAATGATGAAGAAATGTGCCAAATATTGGAGAGTAATTTCCCAAAATGACAAAGATATGTGGAAAATAGTGGCAGGCAGGGACGGTTACTGTTTTTTACCACCCTGTAGTTCTATGTACATGGTATCATGGTTCATGGCCGACTGATTTTCCCTTATATAGTAGTCTACAGTCTGATTAACTGTAATATTGTAAGTCCATATTAAGCCTAAATTAAGCAATCAAATGAACACAGTTCAGTGGTCAATAACTTACCAGATATCAGATGCAGCGAATTCAAGAAACAACACATTTGTTAGTCAAACCACAAGCAAACAAATGTTTTGTACCTTAAATGTTGATGTCCTTTCCATACAACATAGCACTGTGGTCATTTGATTGTTTAATTTTTAGGTTAAAAAGACTTCTCATTTTACATTGCTTCAGACATGCGTTTTTGAACATGTACTTTAGACCACTTGTATTTAACACTTGATGAACAGCATTGTAGCAGTATAACTACATGCAGCCAGTCATACAAACATAGTATATGTATGCTTAGAGAACATTAATTCAGATATATGGATCCTATGTCGTGGCAGCATATAGCTTATATGAATAGCGAGTCATTAGATATATAGCCAGTTTCTATTAACAAATCCATTGAATGGATTAAATATTGATACAGACGTATTGATATTGTTGATTATTGTTATATACGGTTTATGACTATTATATAGAAAAATGGTCTACGTTCTCTTTGTGACAGTTTGAATGAAAATATAATTTTCATATTTCTCATTTGTGTTTTTTTAATGTTGCCCTTTGTGCTTACTTATCTAAGTAGTGAAGACATATGTTGCAAAGCCTTATGTTACCCCACCCCCATTCTGAATCGAAATGGGTAGGGGAGTTTAAGGAGTTACCAAAACAGCTGTTCACATGATTCTAATGGAATACAGCCAAAAGTTGGGACAAAAAATGCTTTAATATGCTTACCTATTATGAAGCTTTACTTATTTTTGTCTCATTATTATGATACATTGTGTTTTTTCTAGAAACGTGTTAGTATTTTTTGATTTTGTCCAATAGTTTCAGAAATAACTGAGGACCAATCAAATCAGTATATGTCTCACTCAATCGGATTGTTTTGCAAAATATAATGAGTTTCCTGTATTAGGGGCCATTATCAGACTGGTACGCAAAGTAATTTTATAAATGGTACATTAGCTAATAGTAATAGAAATAAGTGAATGTGAATTTTCCAGTTTTGCAAAAACAGAGATGTGATGAGTATTATGTTACTTAGGGACCCAGGCTGAATATTTTGGCTTTTGGATATTGGAGAGTATCATAAGAAATCTTTTCATTTACTTGTTTGAAAAAAAGTTACTTGTACATTATTCATGCGAATTGTAAAATATTTAAATTTTGTTTTTTATTTTCCAGGATTCAAAGGGAATTAGCGAGACATGTCAACATGTAAGTCATTAATCATTTTACAAAATTCTTCTATTTGTTGAATAATTGTTATTATAATGAATTTACTTTATTGATTCTCTATGACATCTGATAGTTTCATTGTTTAGCGAACATCTCAAAAGTTCAATGTAGAATTACTAACTGTATTTGAACAGTTAATCTATCTTTGACCCCCTCCCTCTCATAAAGTATGTTGTTGATATACCTTATTATCACATGATCTATAGTCCGCATTGATCATTCTGCCCTCGATATTCTGTATTGGAACTCGACTTCATCTCCTTCCAATACGGAATTTCTCAAGCAGAATATATCCTGTATTGCACTTCAAATCATTCAATAACTTATATTGCGTTAAGTCACACTATATCTTACATAATATGTATTCAGTTTTTTTATAATTGTTCCAATCTGTATTTCTGTACAGTATCAGCATAAAATTATCTTTTGTATTGTATCTCACCGTAGAATCCAGAGTTTATATCCAACAAAATTTGCTCAAATAGAATTCCTGGGAACGATGTCAGAAAGCTAAATTTTAAAGCTAATGATGCCCTCCTCACATAACTGTTCAATGTTCAAATACAGGTTATTTTCCGACATCGATCTTTTGAAATGCTCCCTTAATGTAAAGTTTTCTTGTCTAGAAAATATGTTGATTCATGATATGATGTGAAATGAATTACCATTTGCATGATGTTTTTTTAAATATGTTTGTGGGTTTCAGTTTTGAATGTTTTGTGGGTTGTGTTATACCTAACAGAAACATTGAATGAAATTATTATATTATCATCAAATTTCATCTCTGCAAAAACCATTGAAAGCACAACAGGTATTTTCTGAACTAAATGAATTTTTATTTTTATATCAATTGCTGGCAATCTCCCTGATCAGAAAATACAAGCGGGTACTTTTAATTCACAAATGGAGAGAGGGTTGAAATAAACTATCAATAGAATTTTTGATCCAATTGTACCACAAAAACCAATATGGTTAACAATATATAGTTCTAGCAATTGTATATATTATAAATGATTTTTGCAGGAATCTATAATCACCAGACTTCTGATTGAGAGCAATATTCAATAAACTCTGATGCCCTCCATAACATATCTAAATTCCCATCCTAGGTATAAAGCCCATTAATTTAAATGTGATTATTCTCATTATGATATAGTTTGTGTGGGGCTACAAAAAGAACTTAACAAATGATGAGAGATTTGATACTGCTGCCCATGAGGTCTGCAAGGATGCCCTGCTTGAGGCAAGTACACACTTATATGTCTTATGTAAATGTACACCCCAATGCGCACTCTGAAATCACAGTATCGTATGGTACATTAAAAGTATGGTGCAGCACAGTGTTCATGATACCATACAGTACTGTTTGGGTCTACAGTACTGTAAGGTACCACATTTTGCTGTACCGTGCAGTAACATAGCCGAAATATTTAACTATTTTTAAGAATTTAAAAAAAAGAAAAAAATTATTTAAAAGAATTTTTTAAGAATTATACAATTAATTTTTACAGTATACATAAACATTTGTACAATTCACTTATTTTGCTAAATTTTATTCAGGCATAAATCAAATCATTGTATCTGCCTCTAAATCCAATCTGTATGTTGTGTTAATATTAAACAATATAAATTCTTACATTTGTACCTTTTTAGTTCCCTGACTGTGGCAAACTTGAGCCTGGGAAGGGATGGATTATTTCCTGCCTCATTGAGCATAAGGAGAACTTGACCAATGAAAACTGCAAGCAGTTCCTCAACAAGATGGCTTCTATTATATTTGGCGACTACAGGCTCATCTGCAACTTTATGGACAAGTGTCAGAAAGATGTAGAGTCTAATAGCTGCGGGAGGCTGGCGCAGAGAGATGAAGTAGAAGATGTAAGTAAAAAAGTAAAACTTGTGTGCTTATGTGTTTTCTGTATAGTGTTCCTTAACCTCTCGACCACCTGGAGTGACGAGATTTCTCGTCACCTCAGAAATGACCATGAAACCCAGAGTGACGAGAAAATCTGTCACAAAATTTTTCACTAAAATTTTCATCCAATTTACACTAAAATTGTTTTAAAATGTGTAGAAATAATCTGTGCTGTCTAATTTTACTAATTCGATCGTCTAAAGTTGTTTAGGTAAATAGTAAAGTGTCAAAAGGTGGCAAAAAAGAAAAATTCTCTGGTTTCAACTGGTTAACAGTGAATTAGTTTTACAGATAGTTTAACTGAAGTGGTCAACTTTGGATTCACACATACTTAATGGATGTTGAGATTCACGTGGATGCCTTTCTTACATTCTGTATTGCATTTTGAAATCTTGTGTAATTTGCAGGCTTTGCATTCACAAGGAGAGACCATCAAGTGTCTATCAGAGCACGTAGGGACTCTACAAGACACATGTAAACATGAGATTCTGCGTATAGCCGAACTACAGGCGGATGACTTCCACCTAGATAGGGCACTCTATTACGCCTGTAGGGACGCCAGAGAACAGTTTTGCAAGAAGACAAAAGCTGGAGGTGGCAAGGTTTTCAAATGTCTTTTCAGACATAAGTTTGATAAGGACATGAATACAGAGGTGAGTTGGTGTTCTCCATGAGAAGATGTTCAATTGGGTGGTGTTTCCACCACTTACATTGCATATAGCACCACTCAATTGAAATCAGCACCATATAAAAAATCACCATGATTTTACATCATTGCATTTTAACTTTACCACTTTTTAAAATCAGCGTCGCTCAAAAATGTTGATCAACTTTTTTCCATTTAGTTTTAAACAGATATGGATAACCCTGTATTTCTTATATTCATTCCCTTTGGTTTCAGTGTCGAAGTGCACTTGTGACACGCCAAAAGTTGGTGGCAGAAGACTACAAAGTCAGTCATGGTCTAGTGGCAGCCTGTAGTAGAGATATCAGGGCTGCTAAATGTGCTATAAGGTTGCAGGATCAGGGAATGCCAGATAATAAACACGTCAGACTTTCTCATGTTCTTTTATGCCTGGAAGCTTCAGAGAAAGGTGAGTGTTCAAAGTACAGTACAGTAAAACCTGTTGTAAGTTGAACATCTTTGGTACCTCTTAAAAGTGTTCCACTTGGGAGGTGTTCCTCTTATAGAGGTTTATCTATTTAACAATCAGTTGGTCTTGGGACTCGGAAAAGTGTTCCACTTACAAAGGTGTTCCACTTCTAGAGGTGGTTCACTTTACAGGTTTCACTGTACTTCGGGGTATTTGACTGTTCAGTGAATAACTTGTAGAAAAGGCTGTAGTGTGTTCTTGTATGTCTATGTATAAGTGCACATAAAAGAACACAGGGCTCCTTCAAGGAGGGGTTTCTGGGTCTATCTTCCTGGATTAGTTATGTAAATTATGACTGCACATATACAGGATATACCCAAGAGGTCTTGCTCACTTTCGTTGGTGGTCAACAAAATACAATAAGATACAAGTTAACAGTTCAAGTCTCTGGTATGATGTGTTCAATCCAGACAATGGACTTCAGTGTTTACAGTAACAGCAGCAACTGGGATGTTGAAGACTATCTAGAACTAAAGGGAAATAAGGAAATGTAGGGAAATCTTAAACTACATATATAAAGAAATATATGGAAATCTGAGGAAATATTGAAAAATATAAACATTAAAGTATTTATCATGTGAATTTAAGTGCCAAAACTAGAAGTTGAATACTCATGTTAATGCCTTTTCTAACTTTTCTGAACTTTTCTGAACTGACTTTTTTCTAGGTGGAGAAAGGGTATCCCCAGAATGCCTTGCTGAGATGAGGGACTGGCGTAGAGCATTGATGGAGGACTATAGAATCAGCCCAGACATTGTCAAAGGTAATGTTGGTGATCTATCTAGTTGCATTGTAACAAACTACTTGTTTATTACAGTCATTTGCTTTGTTATCTAACTTATTCCAGTTATCAGGTTACCATAGTTTATAATAATAGGTGAGGAAAGGTACTTGCAAAATTTATACTCTCTTTTTAGTCAAAAATTGGCTTTTTGGCCGAAGTTCAAAAAATTTTAATTATAATTATAGGGAATTTGTTTCGTATTTAAACATGTATATTGTGTATAATATGTTTTGTTGAACATGTTAATATTGTGAAGTAAATAAATTGTGTTTATTTATAGAATGTGCTAAGGAAATCATGGGACCATGCAAAGGTATTCACAAGGAAGGTAGAACATTACATTGCCTCATGGATCTTGCAAGACCACATCATAATAGAGAAACTGAAATTGAAATATCCAACACATGCCTCCGTGCAGTAAGTACAATTTGCGTGAAGTGTAGTGTAGTGTAGTGTAGTCCTCATTGAATTTTGAACAGTTCTATTTACTTGTGAAGTACATGTATTAAAGAATCGATTCGATCAAATGAAATCTGACGTGAAATGATTTTAAACAGAGGGTCTTATAAATAGGGTACATTGTTTGGAAATAGTTTAGTTTTTAACTGTCTTCAAGATATGTCTGCTGTGGCAACCTGATTATTGATCCACTGTCACACCCACATGAGATGTTTTTAAACCCATCCTCACCTGTTTGAATATGAGAGAAATCATGAAAATTGCCATAATTTGATTTTGATCAAAAAAAAAGAATTTTACACATGCTTTAATGTCACCACCAGCAAGTGATGACATATTGTTAGAGTCTATAGTTATATAGGTTGGTGTTCAGCATTCAGGATCCGTAACAAATGGCAGGTGGTAACATTATGCATGTTAATGCCTTCCTAGTCTTGCTTCAAGACCATTTGCTTCAATCTATTCCCTTTCTTACTGATTATAAGGAGATATGACTGCCCCTTTCTCTAGAGAGAAGTCTGGAAGAAAAGGCTCTTTTGTTTGCCATATTGAGTAGGGCAGAGGAGGGGTAGACAGGGGTTTCACTAGAACTTCTCACAACAGGCTAAATAAATAAAAGCAATTGGCAAAATTAATGGAAATCATAAATTTAACATGGAAAAGTTGAAGAGTCCAGGGCTCTCGCCAGGCTTTTAGACTGTAGCGCAGCACCACACTCTATTTAGCTCCCTCCACAGCCTTTTGGCAAATCATGACTGATAAAACATAACATTAATATGATTTATTACGATTGTACGGTTATTCTGAAGATGTTAGCACCACACCCTAAATATTTCCTGGTGAGAGCCCTGAAGTCCCTAAAAACAACAGGCAATTTCGTGAAAACAACTGGTGAAAATCGCCTGTTTCCTGCTGCTTATAAAACTCCTGGGTAGAGTCCTAATCAGAGACTACCATTTACGTAAGTGTTCTCTTGTGTTTTAGATCGAAGATCTGATAGAGGAGGCGGATGCTGGGGAAGATTTCCGTGTCGACCCTGCACTACAGGAAGTCTGTCAACCTGTTGTCGAGACCCAATGTAAAGATGTCAAACCAGGAGATGCAAAGTAAGCAAAATAGGGAAAATGAAGCAGCTCAATGGTTCATCAAATGTTTAAAAAGAAAAGGAGAATTCCACTTGCCATTCTTCTTGCCAAGTTTAAATTCAAATCAATATTGATGCATAAAAATGTTCTGTTTCAACCATCTCGATTTTCATTTTCTGCATTCATAGTAAGCTTATCGAATTACCCAGGCATCTGTTTAAATGTCTTTGTCCATCCATCAACAATTGTCACACAAATGAAAACTGCCATTCGTCTGACCTTGAAATAATATTCATTGTATACTGGGGCCGCACTTAAATAAAAGCCATTGGTTTTCCTTCTTTTGCCTCATTTGGGATAAATGGTGGTGCATTAGTGTTGCATTTCATTAGTCAGCAAGACTTAAAAAGGGAGTGGCCTCTTAAATGTGATCATTCTATGTAATCTATTTTTATGTCACCCCAACAAGTTGTACCACATACTGTTATGGTCTCCAACTATTTTGTGGACTGTGTTCAGCAGTTGGTGTTTGGAGATCATCATTCAGCATTTGCAACAAATAGCAGGTTGTGACATTCTGCATGTTAATGCTTTGTGTATTTTTTCAGTGTCTTGAATTGTCTGATGGAATTGCTAGGATCTGATAAGATGTTAGAAGACTGCGAGGAGAGGTTGCTCGAGATACAGTTCTTCGTTGCTAGGGACTTCAAGTAAGTTGTCATAGATACAGTTTTTTGTTGCTAGAGACATTCAGCAGCAGTGTCTCACATGATATGGTAAAACAGACTTGATAAACCAATATGTCATGTTGTTCTCGGCAAAATGAGAAACCATATGTACAATACAGAATTGCTTAAATTCAAAAGCTTAAAATAATTCAGCTTGAATAGTTACCTATTAGCATGTGCTTAAGACTGAATTTCAGTTAAAAAGTTGCCAAATTTAATAAAGTTGTGTACCTGTATTGACTGTATTGTATGAATGTGCTATTTTTAGACTAGATTCTAGATTATACAAGCATTGCCACAAAAATGCTGAGGAATTATGTCACGCTCCGAAAAAATGGCATGACGATAACACAATGGAGCCCAATCAGTGGCCTCTTATCTTACCATGCCTTTACCAGCGAATGAAATACCATGGTAACGACAAACATCATCAACAGGTATTGCCATATATGGTTATGTTGTGCTATATAAGTAGCATTGGGTTTCTTATAATGGATGGGATAGAAATTTCCAAACAAATAAAAACATGTAATTTATTTGGATAAGTGCTCACTGAAAACATGTCAAATGATAACATCCAGTGTAATTTTATTGGAATGATTTTCAGGTTGCTTTTTGTTTTGAAAATGCAATTGGCCATTGCTCTACTTTACCGATGTTTTTTAAATTACTGAAAAGCGAAATTTTGGTTTGCTTTTGTCAAATTGAAAAGTTGAAATCTGTCACCATTCCTTTATATGAACTTCCAATGCTACTTTAAGCTGCATGTAATGTCTAGTTTGCAGGACCATGGTGGATTTAGATGGACATCAACAGAGTTCAGTATGTGTGTTCATTTTCTCAAAAGTTCACATTTCCCTCAATTGAATCGATAAAATTGTAGTGTTCATATGCAAATGGGGAATCAATAATTCTTTATTTGTATTGGATGATTTTTACAAAATATATTGTTGTTATTGGAATAGTTATTACAAGTCGATTAAACATGCAAGGGAAATCTGAACTTTTGTGAAGAATGTGCACACATTTGCGTTACATTAAATTGTCGTACCAATATTCTTCACTGTTGTGTTGTTTCGTTACTAGACTAGATCCAAGGTTATTCCGCAAATGCCGCAGGGTAGCTCAGGAGGTCTGCCAAGTTGATGTTAAAAAGTGGTTCGAGAAAAAAACAGTTGAAGATGAGGCTGAAATGGCACCAAAGAGGTTCTTGCTTGCGTGTCTTCACAATCACGCAAAGCGCAAACAGGTCTGACATCTATTGCAGCACTCACACACTAACACATTTCCTTCCAATTTTAATCATGGTAGTTCTTTAGTATAGAATATATCAATATAAAACAACTACCATACTTACGTTTGAAGGCCAAGTCTAGTCTTAATTGTTCTTTTGTAACTAACACTCACTCTTTTTCTGACTCAGAAAAATTCCGATAAAATTAACTATTTTTTATTTAAGTTTTGCATGACTTGAGGTACTTTAATTCAGTTTGATTTGTTTTAGTATGCTAATTACTATGCTAATATATGTATGAATTTGTGTTTTTTTGGTTTTTGATACATATAATCAATAATGCATGTCAGTTGGTTTTAAACTGTCTTTCTCTTGGTGAAAAAATAATAACATTTAAGTGGTCATTGAAGTTGACAAAAAGCTTGCCAAAAAGCCTTTGAAATCAAAACATCATGAAATAAAGGTCAGAATTCTTGGAATCTCTCAGAAAAATAGGCACGCTTAGGAATGCTTCGATGTTTAAATGTTACCACCATCATGCCTATTAATTTTTTGTTATCACTTTAATTAATCAATTTTTCATACTTAACAAATTTTTTGATGTTCTGAATTTCCACTAAACATATATCAACATGAATTTTTAGTGTTTTTCAAAAATAGATTCTACATACATGTACATACATGCTAATATCAATATCCCCTCGAATAATTCAAATCTCGTTATTTGTCCAGTTCCTCATTATTATTCAGGACATTCATGCATCTTACTTAAAACTACACAGCTGTGCCTCCAGTTGTACCAAGTTAACAGATCAATACCACAATACTATATCGTTTTAAAAAACATACCGGTATACATAAACATACTTGATTCACATTTTCATATGAGTCATAATTTTCATTTTAGTCATTATTTTCATTTTAGTCATAATTTTCATATTAGTCATAATTTTCATACAAGGCATGCTTTTCATGTTAGTTTTTATTATAATTTTTTTTCATATTATAATTTTCATATTAACATACAGTCAAATATAGCAAGTTGTGTTTTGACTCTCATTTCACTGCTTAACAGGGCAATGTTGTTGAAATGGTTGATATCAGGGGCCACCAAGAAGTCATGCCTAAAGATGATACGGTAAGGCCTGTTTCATGTTAAAGTGCCTTACTAGGATATGAACCCTCACTTTTCTAAAACTAAAAAGGTTCTTTTCTTAATGAAGTATTGCCTTATTATCCCACTAAATGAAGGTTGGGGGGATATAGAAAGGGCATCTTTCTGTCCAGTGTCCAGACCATAACTCAAATACCGGTTGACAGATTGAGTTCAAAGTTTATAATCAGATCTCTTTTAGCACGGGACTTGAAGGACTTTTTGATATAATTTTTGAAATTTTTAATATGAATTAACTGGAATAAAGAAATTAATTTACCAGCTATGGTAGTAAATAGTAAGCTATGAAATTGAAATATTCTATATTGAAATTTTAAAAGAATGAGTGCATTTAATAACCCAAGTCACATTATTCACAAGGACAAAGCTTGAGTGCCTTATCAGAATGGGTTAGTAAATGCATGAAAGTATTTTCCAATGCAGAATCATACAGGCTTCTTTCAAATATACTTCATCCCCTTTGGTACTGTCTAGTTCTTTATGAATCATATAGGATTGTTTCCTGAAATTCAAGTAGACTTTATCCCTTGTGGCACTGCCCAGTTCTTTATAAATCATACAGGCTTCTTTCTTGAAATTCAAATAGACTTTGTTCCGTTTGGCACTGTCTAGTTCTTTATGAATCATACAGGATTGTTTCTTGAAATTCAAATAGACTTTATCCCCTTTAGCACTGTCAAGATCTTTATGAATCATACAGGATTGTTTCTTGAAATTCAAATAGACTTTGTCTCTTTCGGCACCGTCCAGTTCTTTATGAATCATACAGGATTGTTTCTTGAAATTCAAATATACTTCATCCCCTTTGGCACTGTCCAGTTCTTTATGAATACTATAGGATTGTTTCCTTAAATTCAAATAGACTTTATCCCCTTTGGGATTGTCCAGTTCTTTATGAACTAGTTATGCACATGGATAATAACTCAACACCCCTTCACCAATAATAGCATTGTACTAGTAGAGCATCAGTCTATGAATCAGAGCACTGAAATACTCAAACCTGATTGGCTAAGACATACTTGGAGATTTGAATACTGCAATATGGAAACAACAGTTTAATGAAAGGGCTTGGGAGTAAAATACATTTCAGCATCATCAGTAAAAAAATCTTGTGATATCAAGGCACAAAAACAGCTTATAATATGGAAGCTGGCTATGAACATTAACAAAAAATTGGCATTTTTTTACTGCATTTTTAATCAGGCTACTAAATTGATACATACGATAATGGTCTAAGTGTCCATTTTAATTTTATTAATAGCTTATATATGCTTAATTATACATCAACTAATAAGAGTAATACAGTAACATTGGAAATTTTTCTATGGAAATAAATGCCTATTAATCAAAACCTCGCATGTGGAAAACAAAGCACTTGAATGGCATATCTCTGCTCTTGATTTTGCAATTTAAGTTTGGCCGGAATGCTTTAAATTCTTCACAGTTGCTTCCTAGTATTCAGCACAGTGCCTTCCTAGACAACTAGCAAGAACCTTCGGTGTCTAAGCCTCTACGCGTGTAGCCAAATAGAGGGTCATCTCAAAGTTTCACACTTAATTCTAATCATCCATTTTGTTAGTTGGTGTAGCATACATCGGTGACAATGTCACTCATCATGAAAACTTTTTTTGGAATCGAAAATCTTTTTTGGGATTGAAATGCAGATTTGTTGACAAAAAAGCCCCTTTAAAAATGGAGTTAACCAAATTGCCGTTAGGCACCCATCTCCTAAATGAAACTGATAACGCTTAAAAATTTGGTGTGAAACATAATGAGATATGATTTTTTAACAGGCCAAAAAATGCTTTCCTTTTTGTAGGGAAATTCTAACTACATTCTTATGAGTACAGTAAAACCTGTGAGTGTGGAACACCCCTCATACCAACCAAAAGTGTTCTTTGCAGACAAGTATTCTTCACTGAGAGGTGATTTGACAGGTTTTACTGTAACGTGTGTTACTGTAACATGTGTTAAATGTGTACACTTAACTATAAAGAAATTCCAGAGAAAATCAGGCGCTTTATTTAATTTTCAAGCCAGTTGCCTGGAAAAAGCACTTCAGTATATATTTCTGGATGAATGGGGATATTTTGCCATCTGATCTGATATATACTGCAGAGAATAATTTTAATTGTATTTTATTCATCAAAAACAACAATTGAAAGAATATACACAAGATATGTGTATAGTACAGTAAAACCTGCATATCCGAACACCTCTATTATGTCAATGTGAACACATTTTCAGGTCTCAATTGACTTACATATTAAGAAAAGTTGGAATGTGAACACCTGCTAATCCAAACACTTTAAACCATTGTCAGTGGTGCTCAGATAAGACAGATTTTACTGTAATTTCTAGATCCACCATCTGTGTCCCTTTTCACTTGGGGCCTTTCTCTGTTTTTGGTGCGGGAGCATTTATATATCAGATTCTTATGCAGGGCTCAAAGAAATATAACATCAGAGGTCTATTAATTTTGGGCAATAACATTGGCTTAGCATTTGGCTGTTAAAGGCTATAGCTAATAATCTGAGATATATGGGGCAGAAGATTGGAAGCATTAGGATTTTTCATCCATTGCTAACCTTTACTATTCCAAATATGAGAACCCAAAATTCAGACATGGTATGAGAAAAATTGCTCTGATTCTATATTTAATAGTGCTGTGTATTTGCTTTGAGGTTCTAACAGATGTTAAAATTATGTAAGTTGTGTGTTAGATGTCTCCCGTACTGTTGAATAAATCAACTATAAATATGAGGACCGATAATTGGTAAGATATTTAGTATGGATCGGGGGACTCCTTTATCTTTGTCATATACCCATTTGTATTGCTACATAACATGTATCAACTAGGAATGGAGGTTATTTATGTATATATGATAACACCCCCTCCCCTCTATTTCAGCTTGATAGGGCGTGTGCATTTGAAGTAAAACGTGTGATGCACCAGAGAGCTGCAAACGTTGACCTAGAGCCACGTATAGAGACACCCTGCCTGGCCGACCTTGGCGCATTCTGTTCAGATGATGTGGAGAAAGGAGAGGTATGTCAGAATTTTTACATAATTTATTGTCACCATCAAAAATTGTGACATATTGTTGTAGTCTCCAATTTTTTGTGGCGGCAGGTGTTGTTCTGAGTTTGGCATTCAGCGTCTAATAAATGTCAGATGGTGACATTTTGCATGTAATGCCTTGTAATAAATCACTACCTAATACTTAAAAAGTTAATTTAGGAGAAAATTAAAGAAGTTATAGAAAAAGTGACCCTTGAACAATTCTGTCTGGGCTACTATATTATTATTTAAAGAAAATCATGTGAACATTATTGCTTATGGATGCCTTTCTCTTCAGGAGGTGAGGTGTTTGCAAGATCACATGGATGAACTGGCAGAGAGATGTCAATGGGCTGTAGGAAACTATACAGAGGATGAAGATGAGGACCCTGGTTTGGATAGAATCCTCATGAAGGCTTGCACACCCATGATCAAGAAATTCTGTGAGGTAATAATAAGCCATTTAAGAGTATATTCTGCAAAATGTTTTAGTTCAAAGAAATTCTTTTTCACGTAACTTCCATGATCAGGTAATTCTTTGAGGTAATAACCAAAATGCCATTTAAAAGAGTATATTCTGCAAAACTTTGGGTTTTATTTGTTCAAAAGAATTTTTATTGAGAAGAGCTCCATTTTCTCCATTTTTTATACAAGAAATATGTTTTCACAAGAGCCAAAGGGAAACGACCAAAATTTGTTACAGAACCCAGTGATAAAAATGAAACATCTAAGTGTACATCAGCCATAAGGAAAACAAAACTACAAGGGACATTTTATTCATACAGGAGCAATTACAGGGATATGAATCATATAGGTTTCTTTCTTGAACTTCAAATAAACTTTGTCCCCTTTTTTGATTTCAGGATCTGTTGGACAATGATGCTACTGAGGCAGGGGAAGTGATGGAATGTTTGATTAAATACAAACATCATTCAGATATGAACACTAAATGCACGGCAGGAATTGAGCATCATCAGATTGTCACACTGAAGGACTATAGGTTCAGGTAATTATGTTATGTATAAACCATTCAGATTTGAACACTAAATGCACGGCAGGAATTGAGCATCATCAGATTGTCACACTGAAGGACTATAGGTTCAGGTAATTATGTTATGTATAAACCATTCAGATTTGAACACTAAATGCACGGCAGGAATTGAGCACCATCAGATTGTCACACTGAAGGACTATAGATTCAGGTAATTATGTTATGTATAAACCATTCAGATATGAACACTAAATGCACGGCAGGAATTGAGCACCATCAGATTGTCACACTGAAGGACTATAGGTTCAGGTAATTATGTTATGTATAAACCATTCAGATTTGAACACTAAATGCACGGCAGGAATTGAGCACCATCAGATTGTCACACTGAAGGACTATAGGTTCAGGTAATTATGTTATGTATAAACCATTCAGATATGAACACTAAATGCACGGCAGGAATTGAGCACCATCAGATTGTCACACTGAAGGACTATAGGTTCAGGTAATTATGTTATGTATAAACCATTCAGATATGAACACTAAATGCACGGCAGGAATTGAGCACCATCAGATTGTCACACTGAAGGACTATAGGTTCAGATAATTGTTCTCCCATTTTGGGACATCTGAATTAATGGTTATACAGTAAAATCTGTGTTAGTGGAACACCAGTGATACCTCTAAAAAGTGTTCCACTTGGCTATTAAAAATGGATTATTCCTATTCATAGAATTGAATGAAGATAATGTAATCTTCTGTTGTGCCAAAATCTCCTCATTTCCAATTTTCATTTATTATGTCAATACCACAAGTGGTGGCATATTATATTGTTAATCTCCAACTTTTTTTGTGGACAGTGGTCGGAGTCTGTAACAAATGGATGGTGGTGACATTTTGCATGTTAATGACTTGTCCGTAGATAAGCAAATCAATATTTTCCTTCCAGTTACAAGTTCAAAGAGGCCTGTAAGCAGGATGTATTGACCAATTGCCGTGGTATGAAGAGGAAGGCTGATGTCGTTGTTTGTATGAGTGAGATACTAAGGAATGACACCCTTCTAGAACAGGACCATCGTATCTCTAAGCCATGTAGAAAACAGATGAAGGTTGAGCTGTTGCAAAGGGTATGTTCTATGTTGAACTTGTACTATATACAGGGTGACCAAAAAGTGACGGAGCAAGCAGTGTCACATAAATCTTGTCATCTACATCTATCTTAATCCTAAGTAAGGTCTTAAATTCTTCGACATCACACTAACTTTTGGTGGTTAGGCTTCTCGAAGTGCATTTAAAATGAGTTATGATCAAGTATATTTACAGTTAAAAACAGGTTGAAATAAAATGTCATCAAGTGTTTTCTATACATGCTGAAAAAATTAGCTGACCCAGATTGAAACTTACGGACTTCAAGCCCCTCTTGTGGCATTTAATTCATATACTGGATATGTTATATTTTTATAGGGGGAAGATATCCATCTTGACCCATTCCTGGAGGAGGCTTGTGGCATGGATGTTAATAGATTCTGTAAAAAAATAGAGCATGGCAAGGCTCGTGTAGTAGAATGCCTGAAGAAGCATCAGGATCAACTCACAGCTTCCTGTAAGAAAAAGCTGTTCAAAAGAGAGGTAAGGAGTTAGTACTACAGTTTAATGTCATTCTGTAGAGAATGATCATTTCTGATCAAACATTGTGTTCTATTTCAGCAACTAGAAATGAAAGATAACAGTGTGGACTACAGTTTCATGTCATTCTGTAAGAGAATGATCTGTCATTTTTATTATGTCACCACCAAAAGTGGTGACATATTGTTATGATCTCCGTTTTTTTTGCGACGGCGGTTGGTGGTTGGCGTCCGGCGGTTGGCGTCCGGCGGTTGGCGTCCGGCGGTTGGCGTCCGGCGTCTGTAACAATTTCTTACAACTTCCTATAACTTAACAAATACTGTTTAGACTGACTTCAATTTTTTTCTAAATCATCTACATGTTCTCAGAAGTTCAAATCTGACTTTAGATTTGACATTTGACCTTCAATGACCTTCTCAAGGTCAAAAAGGTCTTTTTTCAACTTGCTTCACATTGACTAAATTTTTTTTCAAAATCATCTACATGTTCTCAGAAATTCAAATCTGACTTTAGATTTGACATTTGACCTTCAAATCTGACTTAAGATTTGACATTTGACCTTCAATGACCTTCTCAAGGTCAAAAAAGGTCTGTTTTCAACTTGCTTCAAATTGACTAAATTTTTTTTTCAAAATCATCTACGTGTTCTCAGAAATTCAAATCTGACTTAAGATTTGACTTAAGATTTGACATTTGACCTTCTCAAGGTCAAAAAAGGTCAAAAAGGTCTGTTTTCAACTTGCTTCAAATTGACTAAAAAAAATTTTCAAAATCATCTACGTGTTCTCAGAAATTCAAATCTGACTTTAGATTTGACATTTGACCTTCTCAAGGTCAAAAAAGGTCTGTTTTCAACTTGCTTCAAATTGACTAATTTTTTTTTCAAAATCATCTACATGTTCTCAGAAATTCAAATCTGACTTTAGATTTGACATTTGACCTTCAATGACCTTCTCAATGTCAAAAAAGGTCAAAAAGGTATTTTTTCATCTTGCTTCAAATTGACTAAATTTTTTTTCAAAATCATCTACATTCTACATGTTCTCAGAAATTCAAATATGACTTTAGATTTGACATTTGACCTTCTCAAGGTCAAAAAAGGTCAAAAAGGTCTTTTTTCAACTTGCTTCAAATTGGCTAATTTTTTTTTCAAAATCATCTACATGTTCTCAGAAATTCAAATCTGACTTTAGATTTGACATTTGACCTTTAATGACCTTCTCAAGGTCAAAAAAGGTCAAAAAGGTCTGTTTTCAACTTGCTTCAAATTGACCAAATTTTTTTTTCAAAATCATCTACATCTTTTTCAGAAGTTCAAATTTGACTTTACAAGTTCTCAGAAATTCAAATCTGACTTATATTAAGTTTGAACTCATAATATTGTGAGCAACTAGGTGGTGACATTTTGTCATGTTAATGCCTTGTTGTTCTAGCATTGTGCTCTATTTCAGCAACTAGACATGAAAAATAAATGTGTGCACTATGTTAAATGTTATTCTGTAATGCCTGGGTCACATTTGCTGTGATACATCGGTTGGTGCCCGGCCGATTAAGTATTTGTTCAAAATTGAATACATTTCTGAACAAAATACTCAATCGGCTGGGCGCCGTAGTGAAAATCGGAGCGAATGTGACCAAGGCATAAGTGAATGATCATTTCTGATCAAACATTGTGTTCTATTTCAGCAACTAGAGATGAAAAATAAATGTGTGCGCTACGTTAAATGTTATTCTGTAATGCCTGGGTCACATTTGCTGCGATTCATCGGTCAGTGCCCGGCCGATTGAGTATTTTGATCAAAATTGAATACATTTCTGAACAAAATACTCAATCGGCTGGGGGCCGTTGTGAAAATCGGAGCGAATGTGACCAAGGCATAAGTGAATGATCATTTCTGATCAAACATTGTGTTCTATTTCAGCAACTGGAAATGAAAGATAACAGTGTGGACTACAGTTTAATGTCATTTTGCAAGAGAATGATCAATCATTTCTGCAAAGAGGAAACTGGACCAAGTCTTCTATCTTGTCTCAAGAAGTACAAAGATGAAGAAGAGTTTGATGCCAAATGTAGAAAAGTCATAATCACAAGGCAGGAAATTCAAAACTTAGGTATGATGGCATGTAGTTTCACGCTTTTGCTTGATTTTAAATACAGTAAAACCAGTCTTAGTGAACACCTCTCTCTAGTGAACACCTCTCTCTAGTGGACACCCTCCCTCCGCACATACTTTACTGACCTCTGTATAAATTACCCTCTCAGTAGTAAGCACCTACCAACATTAAATGTTTTTTCTTGCCAAAAATATTTTCAATATATACAGATTTTACTGTAGTAACATTTAACTTGAAATATTTTTCATGATTAAAGTAACTTGAGAGAATTGAATGTTTTGAAAACCTTTATGTTTATATTTAATCAGAAGACACTTATGTTTCTAGCAATATCAACATGTCTTCTAGGTAAAAAATGAAAACTAAATAATGAAATTTAACGAACTTCACTCAGCTATTTTCTAACAATGTTTCAGACTACCGCTTGAATCCCCAGTTGAAGACTGCTTGTAAGAGAGATATCCCCAAGTTCTGCAAAGATGTTACAGATAATGAACCAAATGACAAAGATCTTGAAGGAAAAGTCATAAACTGTTTAAAGATAAAATTCAGAGGCAATGTAAGTTGTTTTCTTCCATATATGCTTTTATGAATGATATCTTGGACGAACAAGATTATTGTTGTAAATGTTGTAAACGTTACATTTGATATACTGGGTGGCCCAAAGATAGGTTTGTAGTTATTCAACAATCACTCTATAAACTGTAATTCTTCTTCATGGCCACCCTGTACAATAGTTGTGTTCAGAAAATGAAATGAAATGTCTATTTTCTGAAATTATAACTGACTATAAATTCATAATCAACAGTCCAAAAGATTGAAACCAATGTCTCGATCATTTTTTGTGTGTTTTTGGAATTTTTTGGGAAATAAGACCAACAATTGCGAATCAAATTCTGAAGTGAATAAAATGGTGGCTGTTTGAATTCGAATTTTGGAATCAAGACATGCCCGTATATGGCAAAAAATCGGGATTGCATTCTGGGAGCCAATCCTCCTTGGATTTGACTTAAAAACTTTGAAATAATGTTATGTTAAATCTTCAGGATTCACATAAGACTAAATATGAAAACTCCAGAATGCATGAAATCACACAAAGTTATAAAGAGAATACAACTCTTACAATACATGTAAATGCATAATGGTAATAATAATTATTCCATAGTTAGCATGATATTCATAGGATAACATGTGGACATAAAAACGGTATTTTTGTAATCAGTGGTAAAATATGATATTTTTGACAAATTTTCACTTAACCATAGCATACGGTTTTTTAGCCATGACATACGACGTCGTATGCGATGGTTTATGGATTTTTGCTACTTCAGACTCAAAACGAGGCTAAGTGTCAACATCGCCGGATCGTTTGGAAAATTCGAATTACATGACTTAATTTCCGAAGATTCTGATGATAACTTTAACTATGGAATAAAAAGAACATCCTATGATTTACTCGTGATATGATTTTAATCCACTCATGGTTATTGAAATCTGCACTCTCTCGCTACGCTCGCTCGTGCAGATATCATATCCATTCGTGGATAAAAATCATATCACTCATAAATCATAGGATATCCTCTATTTATTAAACAGGCAACCAACCAAAGATATCCAACTCAGTCAACCTAAGACTGTAATGTACTACATTGCATCATTATTCTGTTTGTGTCATTATCAAGTAAAACGTATTGTTAACAGTGTAATTGTACAATGAAGTATCGCTGCTGCATAGAGTGGCACTTTGACTTCAGGCTTTTGTTGTTATTAGCTGCTACAGTCTCATCAGCGCATTTCCAATCTTCATTGCTTGTTTCGCCCCATTAAAGTGCTTACAAACTCAGATGGGTGGGGAAGCAGGGTGATCAAATCCCACTCACTGATACAGCCAGCTCTCTCTAAAACGCTTCAAACATATGCCTGATTCACCTAAAAACAACCTGTTATTTGATGAAGTAAAACTTGGATGATGTGGAAGACATAGAAAATCTATAAGCAGCCCCTTGCAGAATAACTGCACATTATAAAAGTAGACTTATTGTACAAATGTATGTTTTGTTTTATTTGTAGCGGCTCTCTAGGGATTGCGAAGACAACATACGTGAAGTTATTAAAGAGGCAGCTCTGGATTACAGACAAGATCCAATGCTTATTAATGCATGCAAGGCACAAGTAAGATAATATATTAATTAGAGGGGGGTCATTTCTAGACATTTTTGAGAAAAACGTATAAAATTCCATTCTTATGTTATCCATGGCTACAACAATTGTTTACAATTAGGAATCATAAATTTTTAGAAAATACTGATAAGGAACATTGTTGGTTATATTTGCAGAGTTACTTTGTAAAACATTTTATTAACAGAAACTTCGTAAAGTTACGAATTCTTAAATCATTTTGTAACCATGGATATAATGACATCTGAGAGTGAGAGACTTTACAAATTTTAAATTTGACAAAGTTCCTGTTAATGGCCTCCTGCCTGGTTATTTCTCTCATAAAATGTTTAAATTAATGAGTGATTTGACAAGTGTTTTTATCAGTTGCATTCGCTGCTCTATGTATTTGCTTGCTGTTTAATCTATTGCTGTACATGTACATATAAAATTATATATTTTCAGATAACAGAGCACTGTCTCGACTCCATAGCTGTAGCTTCTGATGGCAGTGACGATGGCAAAGGAGGAGTCATCAACTGCTTAAAGAAAACATTTGAAGCTAAAAAAATTACAGATCCACAATGTCAAAAAGTGAGAATTAATTTAATCACATTTTTTCAATCAAAAGGGTTTTTTCTATTGAAATACTTAGTGTGAGTGTATAGGGTCAGGGCAAATCCCCTCCCGGCATTGTATGTCCCCTTAGTTGACAAAATGGTAAGCGCCAAGAAGTATGGCTGTTGCGTAAATTGTTGAATTAGATAAAGTATCAGCAAATTTTGGTAAGAGATTGAAACACTAATTTTTGTTAATGTTCTCATATACAGAATTTTATTTTGAAGGAGTTCCTTTTCGAATTCTATAAACAAAGTGCACAACATTAAGCTGTGTGTTTGATCATCTGACAAGAATATACCTTTCAATGTGAACATGTTTTGGCTCCTTTTTTCCATCTGGGTGGAAGTTGAATAACATGGGTTTCGTTAATCTGAAATATAGGATCAAATCCTATGCTAAGGCCTAATATGAAAAAGTCACTCCACCTTGGTGGGAATTGAACCTACAACCTCAAGACAACATGTCAGATGCTCAACTGTGTTTTGATTTCTATATGTTTTATTGCAGCAAATTATCCGTCTTCTGCTTGAGGGTAAGGCAGACGTCCATGTGGACCCACTCCTCTATAAAGCTTGCTCTTTAGATATAAAACATTTCTGCTATAATGTGCCACAGGGTGAAGGAAGACGTGAGTATAATTCACTAATTATCTGGAGACGACTTGCAGTATAAATGAATAAATAGATGGCATTAGTAGTATTGATAAGAATACTTAGCATAATATAAGAAAAACTGATGAAAGTAAACTAATTATCAGATTATCAGATATAATTCTTTTATTATATTGGATTAATGTAAAAATTTCAATGTAGATTATAAGATAATATAGCAATACAAAGCCTGTAATGCCAATTTATGTTCAAATAATTATTAATCCTCTAATTCAGTTTATTCCCCTTTTACCATTTTACGCCCAATTTCTTCATCCTCCATTTGGATAGGCCTACATTATTCACAGTGTTATTTCAGATTTCAATCATATTATTATTTGAATTTTGTAGAAATGTCTTGTCTACTTGCTGCACTTGAAGATAAAGGTGTTCGGCTTAAACCAGAATGTAATAAAATGTTAGAAGAACGTGTTCAGATGTGGGAGTATGCAGCTAAGGTAAGTGAGGAGTCCATTGAGTAAAAGACCATGTCCATGTAATGCATTACATTAACAATGATGTAATGGATAGAATTAATGTGTTTTGACGTGTTGCTCTTGTACAGTATGCCGTATAAGCCAAGAATGATTACTTTTAGTTTCACGCTACCCTCTATTCCAAAAATCTACTCTTCTATTGGTTAACGATTTTACACTCGGAACTTTACTCATGTGCTATTTCAGTAACTTCAAAGTAAATGATCAGAAAATTATTTTCAATTTCATTCATACTTCAAAACGATATATAGAAATGATTTAATAAGTAGATTTACCTGGATGTATTTCAATTATATCATTTTAAAATATTTAGTGATCATGGAAGCAGTATGCATTCGAAACATCTAAAATAAAAATATATACAGTCCGTGACAATAGATACTAACACACTACACACTTCATCCGTTTTATACCATTCGAAAAAGAATTAAGATTACCAGACTATGAACTTATTTGATGTGATAGTAAATATGATTTAAAGTAGAATGTGGATTAGTAAATAAAATATATTTTTGTGTATTCCAGGTTGCTCCTCCAGAGACAATGGGTGAATTAATGGATCAGATCTCTTCTTCACCAGCTAAAAACTACTTCCTAGGAATTATATTTGCCATCATTGGCTTTTTATTTATCGCTGGACTATTTTGTGGTCGCGTCACGAAGCGTGTTCCTGCAGGTCAGAAAAATAAATGATAAAGGTGCGAATTTGTGATTCTGCGCACTGCTACACCATAAAGATGTACAAATTTGTTTAAGTTCAATCGCCAAATTCCGTACTTTTTTATACTATGAATTTTTAGGTTGTAAATGCTTATATTCTATGAATCGATCAAATCAGATGTTTACAATTTTTACGCATTGTTAATGAGAACATGTTTAATTCATCCAACTTTAGATGACTATTAAAAAGGCAACTTTACTGATTGCTTTGATTTTATATCATGCTGGCCAGCAGGCCAAGGGTATATTACCAGATCATTCCTATCTTCCTTTACCTCCTTGTTTTATCAGTAGAAATCACCAGTCCGAGTCTTCATCCATTCTGATACTCATAGCATCTCTCTGTTGCATCCAGAAGGATAGAGATGGAGAGGGCGTGGCTTACCACTCTGGTCTCCATCAGTTTTAATAACTGTCATGTTTCAAAGTGAAATAACAAAAATAATTCATGAATTTAGGAACTATCCTGGTAATGGCCCCTGCTAAATTGGGGAAGAGATAGTCTTGCTTCAAAGCCCCCTCCCTCTACTTCAACTGTTGTTGAAGTAGGTAAGGGTCGTCCAGGGTCTTGAGGCAAGACTTGGAAAGAGGGTATAGCTAGTATATCTTTCAGCGGCTGTGATCTCAAATGAATATATATGCTATAAGGCTCTTACAAATAATCAGTGAAATCAAATTCATATATATTAGGCTCTTATTAATTAAAAGGTTTTTAGTTTTTTTTAGTGAATAACTAAAAATCACCACAATGGGCCTTATTTCAAAAAACATTTTAAGTCCAGAGTAATAGACTAGGAATTCGAAGATTGTGAATGTCACATGCCCTATTGTGATTGTTGAATCATTAACAAAAAGTGGACAATTTAGTTGCAAGGGCCTAAACGCTTTACTATATACGTGTTATGTACATCCCATTATATACTTCAGGTATTGGTCTTTGTACTTGCCATTTATAATCAAGTCATGTGTACTTGCAATATAATATCAAGACGTGTGTACTTGTAGTCATATCTCAATGTAAAATGTATTCTTATCATGGTCTAAATATTTTCACCTATTGTTAAATACCAATGTTCAATTTTTTGAAAATTAGATTAATGAAAAAAGCTTGTATCCAGAAAGTGGTTCATGTTATGATACGAGTGTCAATGTACTTTGTTAAAGAAATCTCTAATGTTTACCATGACTTGGGTAATTTATTGAATATACAAGTACATCACCAGTACTTGTACAATTGGACTTGTACATGTTAAATTGTGCATGTATACTTGTATGTGAAGTTGGCAAAGGGTGACAATCTAACCTGGTGAAACCGATATGTATCACCTTAAAGTATTTGAGTAACAAAACACAATGTTTTAAAAAGTATTATCTTCATATAAATTATTTTTCATATTTTGATTATCAAATGAGAAATTAATTTCGGAAAGATCTTTCTAATCTTAAAAATATGCATGTACTCCCATCGTCCACATTCTTGTCTCAGACCCTACATGTTTATGTTCAAATTATAGTGACAGTTGACACTGTGTACTAATATGTAAGTTCTAGTTATTATATGTAGGAAGGAGTGTTTTATACTCACTAGTAAAGTAGCTTAACTGAGTAAAGTAGCTTAACTGAGTGTTTGATACTCAAATGAAGATATTCTGGTGATATCCTGATATATGACGAACAAATGTGTAGCATAGCTGTACATGAGAAAGTACTCTGTCGGAAGCACTTCAGTAAGACCAGTGAACCATACAAAAGTAATTTTTGATCGTCATCGATTTTCTATTAACTCAAGGTCAAAAAATGTCTTGGATTTTTATGTAGCTTGTAGTCTTTCTGGAAAAATAAACAACACTGTCAAATGTAACATGATCATGGAATATGATAAAATGTAGTTCAAAGGTTGTCCCAGAAAATGCCAAGATACCTTGTTTTCCTTACCATAGGATATAGGTTTTTCAAAATTCATATAATATCATGGCTAACTTTAATTTAGGAAATCAATGACTATTTTGAGATTATTTTTGCAGTGGAAGTCATATACATATTTATATTTGTATATAATGGACATATGATTCCTATAGTCATGGAGAACTACTTTAGAAAATAGTTCCTTTATAAAGTATTATAATGGAGTGAGAAATCTATGCGTTATCATTTGATAAGTGATTTAAGTTGATGAAGAAAAGCCGATAAAATTGGTTGAGAATTATTAAGCAACAAATCTCTCCTTTTGTGAGTGAGATTATAAGGGAGTGGAGTGGGATGGTTGCCATGGTAACACAGGAGCTCCAGGTGAGACTAGTTCACCATAAAAAATGTAGAAATTGCTGTGATGTCAAGAAATGTATGAATCATATTGAAGACCCCCATTACCTATAGATATCTGTTTTGCATTTGTCCATATATGGGCTTAAAATCAGTACTTAGAACCACTTGGTGCCATTCAGTACTGTGTTCCTTCAACATTTCCTTATAAGGGCATATATTAATCTATAATCTAAATTGTACATAGAATGACAAATTCAACTAAAAATGTTGTCTCTACTTTATGACTTTAATACAATCTAACGCACAGCCCCCAAAATATGATAATTCATTAAATGTTTGGTATAAATGGATTTAGGAGTTGATGTATTTCTTTGGCTGCCTGTTAAACTGTATTCTCATGTAGGAATAATATACTTGGATGAACATGTCATTTTGTAAATTATATATTTTATAAATGTTAATTGTATCCACCTTTTGTAATGTACTATGTGTATGTAATGAATGTATGTAGACAGCTAGTGATGATTGTGTTCTTTACAGCACTGTAGAGACTAGAAATCGTAATTCCCACATTTTGAGATTCTTGAGTCTTATTTTATTTAACAGTTTAAGAGTATTTATGATCCATTGATGTAAAATTTAGGATATTGAGACCAATTGATTAATTTAATTAAAACATATGAAATGGATGACATATCTCATTTTGGAAGTTATTGATGACCCATCCCGTATTTGCAGTGATGATATTGCTATAGAGCAATAGTCAGTATTGTTTTGAACAAACCGCAAGTCATTTTGAATTAAAGCTATTGTTAAATTATGACACCCTGTAGCGTATTGATACAAAATTATGTTTAGTTTTGTGACACCTTGTAATGTTGTTCGCGTTAGGTGATTCATCAGTGAATTTGTACCCATGCTCACCATCCATCTGTGTATTTAACAAAGAACTCTCGTAAAGTCAGAAATTCCAAGTCAAGTTTGTTATTCCAGGGAATATTCAGTAAATGCTGTATTATTCATACTTTCTAAGGGTTATTTTTCAAATAGAATAAAAATAAATAGAAATGTTGGATTTTTTAGTTCAGTTTGATTTTGCCAAACTGATATCAGAATTTTGGACACATTTTGACTTTACAGTTTTCTTTGTGTGTAATTATACATGATTAATGTCAATCATAACTATCTTATATGTATTAATGGTATCCATGTATTAATGGTATCCATGTATAAATCAATCTTGTAAATATATGACATTAATCCTTTAGTTATTCTGCTTGAAATTCCAGTTGTCATTGAAACAGGTTACTTTGGCAACCGTATATTTGTTGCTATGGCAATTTGTTACTATGACAACAAAAAATGCTCATTTATTTTGCTAATGCATGTTTATTACGCTTTATAATTTCCTAACAATTTAAGTTCACGTGGATTTTTCGAGTGCAATTTTATCACCACACTTATATTTAATATGTAAATAATGGATTTTTTTGTCTAGTATATTAAGGAATAAGGATGCTATGTTATACATATTTAACAGTAATCTTAAGTTCTAATGCGAGGTTAACTTAGCACTGTACAATTAACAATGGAAGATTATGGTAGCAAATTTTGAAATGTGTAATCAGAAATGTGGCTTTAACCTCTTGAATACCAGCCTCTAAAAAGGGTTTGAAACCAGAGCATTTTTCATTTTCTTCTAGTTTTCTTGATATTTACATCTAAAAACACTATGTTTGATATTTGATTTCATAAGAAGAGTAAACATAGACCCATTGCATACATTCTAAAACATTAGTTGTGAAGATTGGATAAAAAATGCCAAAGTTAGAGCAGTTTTAGTGAAAAATTCTGTGACAGATATATCTGTCGCTCTGGGTTCCAAATGGATTTTATTTGTGACAGATATATCCGTCATTCTGGGTATTCAAGAGGTTAACCTCCCGATTATAGTAACTGCACAGTACTGTTTAGTATAATAGACTAACTATAAAAGTTAAGACTGTTTTGAGTGAAAAGTTTTACGTCGTCTGGTAGGCTATATATTTGCTAAATACTTTAGAGATTCATGAGTTGTCACGATCATTTTTGAACCATCACCAATTTACATTATGCTAGAAATAACAATGTACATATCTTGTTGAACAATATAAACTGATTCAAAATGATCAGTCCCCATAAGTCACTTATCTCCACTCCAGAATGGACTACTTAAATCTACAGGGTGACATAAAAAAATGAGCCCGGAGAGTTTAATATAAATAAATACATGTATAGTGAACTCACATAATTGATTAAAGAAGTTGTTGGAAATTTGTTTGTAAAACCATCTTAAATGAATTTTCCATCTTAAATGAATTTTCTGCATGGTTCATATCTAAATCATGATAATTATTATTGAATTTGATTATTGTCTTTTGAGAAAAATGATATACCCTTTTGTCACCCTGTAATGGAAGAAATCACCACACTGTTATACTAAAGTGCTACCCTATAGTTATATATTATGTACATAATGAGGTGTTTGTGCTTGAAGACGGGGAATTACATTGAAAATGTATGGGTGAATAAGTAACATTGGGATATTAACACAACAAAGAAATGAGAATGTCTCAGGCTCGAAACTAACCATCCTCCGAACGCAGGTCTTCAGAACTCATACCCGTTCTTCAAAAAGAACGGGGTAGAAAAAAGGAAGGGATGTAGTGGATGATGACTGGAGTCCTGCGTTCGGTGGATTAAACTAACTGGCATCAGCCCTCTAGACCATTGCTGATGGCGCACATTTAGTAAAATATTTAAATTTGTTCATTTCACGTAACTTGATCTAGTATGATATGATAAAAACCAGTGGTAAAACAAGTTATTTTCACATATGAGTCTTGCAACCAAAGTTTACTTCAACCAGTTGGCTAATTATTATCTAACTTTGGCTGCAAGACTGAAAACAAGTTTTGTACTTCTAAGTTCAAAATTTACACTGTTGTAACATGTACTATAGGAAAGAAGAGATATTGTAGATTATATGCAGGAGAATAAAGGTATTCTTTATTATGAAGATAAAGCATAATTTTGTTTA